AATTTATGCAAAAATAATTTTTTATACCAATTTATTCATCTGACACAAATAATGACCACTATACTTCAGTTGGTATAAGAATGAAACATTATATAAGAATGAAACATTATTCATTATTGCATATTTCGTTTAAAATAGGTTGCAAAGATTTAATGTTTATAACATTATAAATAGCTATATCTTGTTATATAAATAAGCCAATTTATCAAAGGGCCTTTTGGGCTGATGGTAAGAAGTTACTTTCTGAAATGAGAGATTATGGATTTAAGTATCATGACATGTGATATTTAGGATTAGGTTAAATTAATTATTGACGAAGATATTTAAGTTTTGCGATCTAATAATTGGTGAGTTGTTTTTTGGGCTGGAATAATATTATTTAAAACTAAAATAAAAAACAATTTACGATTTATTTTCTTGAAAAGGGTATTGATTAAGTGGATAAGTTCAAATTGAATTTCGATTATCAACTTATTAATCAGCCTAATGTTCTAATTAGCTTTGCTTTGGGTCATCACTTCTATTGTTTATGTCGTGTATATGTATTTCCCTATATCCCTTCATAAATCATGACCAACACCATTAGAGTAGTGACTAGTCCACTACAAGTTTTGATGGCTTAGGCCAACGCGATTTGGGTTGCCCGGGGCTACTCACAGAATTTGGGCCTATTTTGTAACATAAAATGTATTCGACATATAATGTGGGCTAAAATTCAGAAAATACTAGTAAAGGATAGAGGTGCTCATGGTAGGGGTGAACAAATCCGAGCCAAGAAACCGATCAAAACCGAAACCGAAAAAACTGAAACCAAAGCAAAACCAACGGTTAGGGTTTGAAATTTTTAAAAACTTAAAAGTCGGTTTCGGTTTTTACCCAGAAACTGACTCATCCAAATCGAGAAACCGACCAACACATGAAATCGACAAACCGACCCATCATTATAAATTCTTATTTTTATGAATTGACTAATTTACCCCTCTTATACAATGAAGCTTATAATATAATATATATATTTACTCAAATCAAAACTTATATAAAATTACAAAATTATTGTTGGCAAATAACAAAATTCTATACCATTAGAACACAATTTCACGTCCAAGAAATAACAAATTCCTAAACTATGTACAAGTGAATAACAATTAGAGCATTTAAAAAATAGCATCTCATGTTTATGTAAAGTAAGTAACTAAGTTCAATCATTATATAGAAGCTTTATTATCTAACCTTTTATGTAGAGTTAGTGACTAAGTGACTAAGTGCATTTCTGGAAAATGGGTTAAAACCCAAAACCCATGGGTTTAATCTTGAACCCATGAGTATATAGGTTGAACCCAAAAGACTAGAAAACCGCCAAAACCGACTCCAGAACCCAAGAAACCGAACCGACCAGAAACCGACCTTATTGGGTTCTGAAAATCAGAAACCGATCATTTTCGGTTTGGATCTAAAACCGACCCATGCACAACCCTACATAGGATAGAGGTGGGCAAAATCAGACATCAGATTGCTCTTGAAAGGGTTATAATCGGTCCCGAGCCTTGGCTAGGGTGCCTCAACCAATCCTAGCAAAATTGACTCGGGCTTACCGATCCTAATAAGAAAAAAAGTTACTTAACTGGTATGAAACCAGTAACGTGTTAGAGGGTAAAAAATTGATTATTATTATTACTATTATTATTATTATTATTATTATTATTATTATTATTTTCAAACACCAAAAAGATTTTTCCTTTTATAATTTATTAACTCCAATCAAATAAATAAATAAATAAATAATTGTCTGCGTTTTCTTTTGCTTTGCTTTGGTATGGGATATTGTTTTCATTTGGTTTAGTCTTTGGATATTTTTAATAGTCATTTCTTGGAAATTTTTATAACTCATCCTCATCAAAATCAATAGGGTTGTTGGTAAACTTATGATGTTTATTCTTCTAGTATCTCATCTTTAAGCCTTTCACTTTGATCCTCTATTGATACGAGGCTTAATGCATTTACTCAATTGAAAGGATGTAAATTGGTGTGCTAATGTATTGTTTATCTTTTATAATACTTTATAGGTTTAACATAAACATCTACATATGGTTGGATGCTCATCATTTAGGTTCAATCGTGAACCAACCATACCAGACTATGAGGAATTACTGGGATGGCTTGGTCCTTCTCTTCACAAAAATGCTTACACATATTCCATCTCCATGATTCTCGATCACTTCATATTCCTTCAATATTGTCCGCAATGCTCCAAACTTGATAAACATATAAAAATCCACCAATAGATCCGAACATAACCTGATCAAACGGAAAATTCAGAAATATGCAAAATTCTATCTAAAATGCATGAAATAAGAAGTGAAAATAGGCTTAGAATGCTAGAAAATATGCATAAAAATGCATCTAACATTGTTCGATTAGTTTTTGGCTTGAGGTGTTTGAAAATGATCTCAAACAGTAGAATGGTGTAGTGAGTTATTATCATACATCTTATGTGAATTTTCAATGTGAGGTTTTTTTTTTTTTTTTTTTTTTTTTTTTTTTTTTTTAAGCACGACAAGGATGGGGCCTTCATAAGTTAGACCCTCTTTTAAAAACACATTATATACCGATAGAATTAAGCTAAACGTCCCTTAATCAATACTGACAAAACTTCATCATGATTCATAGGGCTTGTTTATATGTGTATTTTGAAATTGATAAACGATTATTACAATTTGAAGTAACCATAAGTCCATAACCAATTTTTTTATGTTCGGATAAGCATATTATTTTTATGACTTTATATTTTTAAATAATCACCCTAATCTATAATTATCAACTACAACGATTAGTGCAACTTGAAGTAACCAGAATCAATTTTTTTTTCACATTGATCTCTATTTTGGTCATTTTAAATATAGATAACTCAAATAATCAAAATTTACTAAAACGTTTGTCCAAACTCCAAAATGATCATTCCGATAGTGGATGGTTAAGACAGATACTTAACGATATATTCCGATAGTGGATTTTATCAATTAGTAAAAGTGTCAGTACCCAAAAGAAGGGTGTTACAACTTGCATGACTTGAAGATGATATATTTTTAAAAGAATTAACTTTACAGTCGAAAAGAAAAAAAAATTAGATGTGCACCATGTTGGTTTTTTGTTTTCGATTTCAAGGTAAATGCTTTAATTGGTTTATTTCAAGACTATTTGTATTTAACTATTTATAATACATACAAAAAATATCTTTCTACACCAATAACCATATTTTATCATACCTTATTAGTTACTATTATTATATTGATTATCATTATCATATTCATATCCAAACGTAATCACTTTCGTCTATTTTTTATGTGCAATCTTGTCTTGGTATAAAGAGAAAAGCAAAGCAAAAGGAGTGGCTTATTTGCATTCATCGAAGCTTTGAAAACCCCGCCTTCTTCTTCCTCCTCCTCATCTCCATATCTCAACTTGCATCGTCTTTCGTATTTTTCACTTTATTCAGTGGTGGGTGCACCCACTAATCCACCATAAAACCCATCCATCTTCGCAGCTAAAATCACTGTAGAAAGAGGCAGAAATGGCGAGCAGCAGCATCTCCCTGGAAGATGTACCTTCGTTGGACATGATGAGTGAACTCCTTCGCCGACTCAAGTGCTCATCCAAGTCCGATAAGCGCCTCATCCTCATTGGTATTACAATTAACCCTTTTTCTGTTGCGATTCTTTTAAAATTACGATGATCGTTCCGTGTTGAGTATTTGGGCTGTTGATTCTGAGATCTGTGAATGGTCCCATGAATTAGGGTAAATTTTGAAGCTTTTATCCCAATCACCAACTTCGTTAGTATCTATTTAGCATTATCCATATGGTGTATTAGTTCTGTTGTTGTTTTTTATTGGTGGATTTTTGCTTGCTTAAATCCTGAATGTTTTTAGGCCTTTTAAACCTAAAGTTACAACGTAAGCAGAATTTACTAGGGTATGATCTCAAATGGCACTTTTAACCCCCCTCCCCCTCTCAATTCCGTAAAAAGAATTATTGTATGATTCATTCTTCCATTTTGAAATTTCTTCTTGATGGGGCTTTATTGATATCTGTAAATGTTCTTATGAATTGGGTTATTCTAGAACCGTAGAGTTGGAATTAAAACTGAATCTTTAACCCCCATGGATCATTTTTTAATCACATTGATCGGTTTTAAGTGTTCTTGAGCCTTGAGACCGATGGGTATTGCCTTCTAAGTGTTGGATTAAATGTTTACAAGCAAATGAATGAAATGTAGGTCCACCTGGATCTGGAAAAGGTACCCAATCCCCCATCATCAAGGATGAATACTGCCTATGCCACTTGGCAACAGGTGATATGTTGAGAGCAGCTGTTGCAGCTAAAACCCCACTCGGGATTAAAGCCAAGGAAACCATGGAGAAGGTAGGCTAAGAGACATCGACACCATGGTTATGTACTTTTGTCATTTCTATTTCGGATTATTTGTTTGACTCCTTTCTTTTGCAAATTTCAAAGGGAGAACTTGTTTCTGATGACTTGGTGGTTGGGATCATTGATGAAGCAATGAAGAAACCATCCTGCCAAAAAGGATTCATTCTTGATGGGTTTCCTAGGACAGTTGCTCAAGCTGAAAAGGTTTCTTGATCCTTCATCTTCATTTGCCTCCATTTTGCTTTTTATAAGTCAATAAAATTATGTAAATAAGCTTGTTTCTTCTTTTTCCACACCAAGTCCTGTATGGGTAATGATATGCATCTGCATAAAGTTTGTTTCTACCCTTGATTTGTTTTTTTTTTTTTTTTTACAGCTTGATGAAATGCTTCAAAAGCAAGGAAGCAAGATTGATAAAGTGCTTGATTTTGCAATTGATGACTCCATCTTGGAGGAGAGAATCACTGGGCGTTGGATCCATGCTTCAAGTGGTAGGACATACCACACAAAGTTTGCACCTCCCAAGACTCCTGGTGTTGATGATGTAAGGGCATTTTAGACATTTAACAAAATATCTAGCAACCATATGAATCAAATTGTTTCTTCTTCTCATAGGTTACAGGGGAGCCTTTAATGCAAAGAAAGGATGATACTGCACAAGTTCTGAAATCGAGGCTGGAGGCTTTTCACAGACAAACAGAGCCTGTAAGTGTTGGGTCCCATCCCACCAACAAAGATGGGAATGGGATGTGATGGGACCCACAGTTTATTTTTAATTATTATTAGAAAAAGGAAAGATTTAAAATTTGGGTTTTGTGTGTGAACTACAGGTTATAGAGTATTACAACAAGAAGGGTGTGGTTGCAAAGCTTCCTGCAGAGAAGCCCCCGAAGGAGGTGACTGTTGAGGTTCAGAAGGTTTTGTCGTCTTAATGGATTAAGATGCCTGCTTTTTTTTTTTTTTTTTTTTTTTTATTAAAAAATATCTTTTTGATTATTGGGATGTTATCTAACCTGATACAATATTGGATCGGCTTAAACATTGAACTCTTTAAGCTACAATTTTCAATTTTCCAAGCATGATATTGATGGTGGTTGAGTTGCTGAGATATGTAAAACCTTACCAGAAATGAATAAAGTTGTAAGAAAATTGCCAATTTCTTTTCTAGTTTGTTGTTTATTATTTATGTTTTCGATACTAATATGGAAAACCACAAATACAGAAATACGCAACTCATGGAAAATCATATTCACGTATACATTATTGATTTGGTTTAGTTCTAGTTCGGGATCGAAAAATAATGCTACATGCTCACCCTTAAGGGATACAATATACAACATGCCACGATTTCACACTAGCAAAACACATACATAATACACAGGAATGTTTTTACCATAAGTCTCAAAAGATATAACTTTTCTTAAAAAAATGACTTTCTTACTGAACTTTTCTATAACCTATGTCAGCCTAAAACGTATAATATATACCTATCTTTTTTGGCTGACTTTGGTTATAGAATAGAATAGCAAGAAAGTAAAATTTTATCTTTTTTGGCTGACTTTGGTTATAGAATAGAATAGCAAGAAAGTAAAATTTTAAGAAATTTTCTAGTAAAGTTATATCTTTTGAGACTTATGTTAAAAGATATTTTTATGCATAATTAACATGCCACCTTGCAGTTTATTTAAACAAGACACGATCGAACCACACACAACATGTATTAGTGTATAATGTATATGTGTGTGAAACTGTGAATAATGCAAACGGCCAAATTTCCAAAATTTCATTAGTTGAAAAATGCAAATTCAAGAGTGGACTCGGACCCTTGAGGCCTTGACACCCGTAAACATTTGATAATAAAAAACATAAGAGTCGATTACTAATCAGTAAAAATATGAGGTTTGATCCGTAAAATCTTGATCAACTTAAATAATCAAATCTTTTTTGTTCTTTTCTGAAAATGAATTGCACTATTTTTAAAAGGAGCTGATTTGAATAAAAATTTATCATCCACTAGTTTTTTATGAATAGACAATTTTATCCTTATATATTATTTTATCAAACTTTACACTTTACCCTTTAACTATATAAATATATTAATTTCTATCATATATAGTTTTTTTTTTCAAAATTTTAATTTTACAATTTTATCAAATTTACCAAACATTACATTTTACCCCTATCACCAAAAAAAATATACTTTTTGCCCTAGATTTTTTTTTGTCAAGCATAAACTTAAAAAATATAAAAAACAAATGTATATATTTCACTAGATAATAACGTTTAAAATCAAAAACTTAGTTATATAACCAAATTTTTACCAAAAAAATATGATCAAACAACGGTCCAAATATAAATCTAAATAGTCATCCAAATCAAAAATATAAAAAAACTAGCTGTTAAAAAAAATGAAGATTATTAAGGCTAAAAAAGGACCGCCTAAATCAAACATATCTAATGGATATATGTTTAAATCGATTAAGTTGTTTTCGCCATCCACTTTATTGTGTCTCTGTGATATTCCACAACTCAAATCTTGATGATTCCACTTTGTTGCATTGAAGTAATTGAGTCTATTAAGCTCATCTGTTAGATAACAACATAGAAATTCAGAAATTAAGTAAGCTAATTATTAACATAAAATGACAAAGCAAGAAAAAAAATCAATAACTCAAGTGTGTTATCGTGAGTGGTATGATCAATGAAAAAAAAACAATTAACACTTGAGAAAACAAGAACCATTAAAACTTGCACTCTATGTGTCATTTTTTTGGGGTTTTAGTCCAAACTCCGACTTTTTTTGGATTAGTGGTCTTTTTGAGCTAGTTTTATTGCGGATTTGGTCCCTCGGTAAACTGAAATGATTTTAATACCATTGGGTATTTATTTTCTATTTTTAAAATCAGTTTTTTAATGTTTAATAATTATTTATTCATTTTAATAATTAAAAAAGAGAGGACCCTCTCTCTCTCTCTCTATCTATCTCTCTCTCTAGAAACACACCCAATTCCCCTAACCCCCATCTTCTTTCTTGTTCCACCTTCGTCATTTTCTATTTTTCTTTTAACAAACCTTGTTTCAACAAAAAGAAAATCAAGATTGATGATTGTTTATCAGACCCATTCCCCCCTCTCTATCAATTTCTGGGTTTTAATTTCTTGGTGGGTGTTTGGCTTCTGAGAAATATTGGTTGTGTTTTTCTGAATGTTTTTGTGTGTACCTACATTTGTATATTTGGTCTCCGATTTGGCCCTCTCATCCCCGATTTTGTTCCCAGGTACATTGGATGGACTTTAATTTGTTGGTTTGAAGTTTTTTTTTTTTTGTATATAATGTTGTTTATTGGAAAATATTGGTTGTGATTCCAACAACTGTCAAATGGTGGAGCTTGTGAAAGACCTAAGAGCCGACACAAATGAATGAGGTGGAGGCTACTGTGATTTACCTCGGCGGAAAGAAGGAAGGCGGTCGAAGCAATGGGTCACGACAGGGGGAGGGTGGAGTGGGCTGAGAACGACGGTGGCAGCCGGTGGTGCTCGCTCCGACGACTCCCGCTGCTTCTGTTTATTTCTTCCGGCGAGGTCGACGTGTGAGAGACGAGGGGAGGAAGGAGTAAGGGTCGGGGATGTTTGGGGCTGATGTACTCGACAAAATAAACACGGTGGTGGTGGGTTTTTACCATGGCAACGGGGAGTGGCGGAGGGAGTTGCTTTGGTGGCCGGCAACAGTGGTTCTTGGTTGTAAGTGAAGAAGAAGGAAGAGGAAGGTTGGTCTGGTGAGGTATGAGAGAGAGAGGTGGGCTCTCTTATTTTTTATTGTTTAAATAAATAAATAATTATTAGATTTAAGAAAAATGAAAGAAAAATAGAAAATAAATACCCCAAGGGTACTAAAGTCATTTCAGTTTACCGAGAGACCAAATCCGTAATGAAACTAGTTCAAAAGGACCACTAATCCAAAAAAGTCGGGGTTTGGACTAAAACCCCAAAAAAATACATACCACAGGGACATTTTTGCAATTTTGTCAAAATAAAATCAATAAACAAACATGGAGAATAATTATTGGCCACATCTATCTTAATAACTACGAAGATTAGGAGAGATATAACAGACCAATAGCTGATGTTTACCAGCGATTATACAACAATTAAAAATTGCTTTGTTATATTTACAATTGAAAATTACATAAATCAGACAACAAACACAATTACAATCGCAAACAACTTGAGGGAAATTTTTAATTTACAAACCCGATGAAGCAAGTCACGATGGTGTAGGAAATACTTTCGCAATAGCAACGGACGTTAGAGCAAGCCGACGGTGCTGGATTAGGCGGCGACGCCGGTGGATGAACGAACCAGCGGTGAAGCAGACGACGGCGGCGATGGATGAAGTCGGGGATGGAAGAAACGATTAGGCGTGGGAATCGAAGAGACAGATACGCTGTTTGACTTTGAGGGAAGGTTTTACAATATTAGTGGGAGGGTAAAATATAAAATGAAAAAAAGGGTAAAATTGTTTGTTTGTAAAAAGTTGTATGTTTCTATTTTTAAATATATTTTTTTGGTCAAACCAACAAAAAGCAGGCCTTATTTTACTTAACAACCACTTCCTATGCGTAACCCTTGCAACGTCATTTGGCTTAGTTCAGGCTAACGTGTGCCATGCTTGAAAATGGGAAAGTTATTTTAGAAAACATATGGTAGCATTTAATATAATTTTATGGAAGAAACTTGTAATTATTAAAAGAGATAATCCTATACTTAATGACATATATATGTTGTATCAACACGTACAAGTAATTAAAGTATACTTCCGAATTTTGATGTCTAAGTACCACTGTTTTCGGTATTTACAAGTCCTTTATGCATATTTTTACATCAACCTTTCATCTTTTCTTATGGATTTTGTATGCATGATATTGCAACCTCACGTGCTATTTATTCCAAAGACACTTTTTTCTAGTTAGAGTAAGTGAGTGACCATATAGTGTTAAGAAATGTTACTTAACCTTTAGTCTTCATACCCATTTATTATAAAACACACACACAATAAAAGTGGAACGTTCTGGAATCCATTATCATGAGCATAATATTGGAATCCAAGTTTTAGATTATGCTTCTTTGAATTGTCGTATAGCATTCTTGGGTTATTTTCTTTCGATGACGAGATTCCAAAAGAAACGAACCTTATAGAGGGAGAGTTATGCAACTCTAGTCAGTCAATAGCTCTTTTTAATTTATGCTCCTAGTATTGATTATAGAAACAAAACAAACTGGTGATGAAGTGGTTGTTTATTAATGTACTTTTAACTCAGGTTGTAGAGTAATTGATTCCTTCCACATGGCACGTCCTATGCTTAATAATTGTGTCTTAAAATCTTATGTTTCTTGTTTATGTATTTCAGTATTTGTGATTATGTAAGTCTCTGGATGTATATACGGTAAACTAGGAGAATATTTTATGGTTAAAATTTGGCAAGTATATATTGAAAGTAATTATGTTATTAATACTAACCATGAAATAATAATTTTTTACACTAATTTATTATGTAAATTTGTAATTATTTTGAACTATGTTATAACATTTGCTAAAATCATATCATTTAGTGATCGTTATTCGCATGTAACATCCTGATTCCTAGGTATGAGATTTATTATTCAAAAGACAAATTTCCCTTGGAACTCGGCGAGTTGATGGCCTCAACTCGACGTGTTGAAAGTCTTTGGGCCGCACATCTTTTTGGACCAACTCGACGAGTTGGAGAGGAAAACTCTACGAGTTGGCGACTGATTTTGAAACCTTAAATTTTAAGGATTGCACCTTATATAACCTCATTAAGTCCTTGAGGCTGATCTTTAATCAGCCTCCAAACCCTATTATCGGCCTTGTGAACCCTAATCATCATTCCATCTCTTATTGTGAGCCAGTGTGGCATTTTTGGAGCAAAAGAAGG